AATTTCAACACTGTTTATGGACACGAGTACTGACAGGAACTAGAAAAAGAGATCACATCTCTCCTGTACTAGCTTCTCTGCACTGGCTTCCTGTAAAATGCAGAATAGAATTTAAAATCCTCCTCCTCACCTATAAAGCTCTTCATGGTCAGGCCCCTTCATATCTTAAAGAGTTCATAGTACCCTATTACCCCACTAGAACACTACGTTCTCTGAATGCTGGGCTACTTGTGGTGCCTATAGTCTCAAAAAGTAGAACAGTGCTTGTGCTTTCTCATCTCGCAGGTTCTCATGGATCCTGGTGGAGCCTCCTGCCATGGTCCTGCTTGACTCCCACTGCTAATATTATTAATAATATAATATAATATATATTATTATTATTATTATTATTATTATCATTATAATAGTTACTATTATTATTGTCCATCGTCCCCCATCGTTGTGGCTGTCGTCGTCGTCATCATCATCATCATCATCATCAGTCATTTCTATTAGTATAGTTGTTGTTGTGCACCTTTGTCTCTGTCTCTGTCCTTCTCTCTTTAAAAAAATAATGAGTACGGATATTGAGCATTTAGCACCAAACATCTGGTAAAGTTAGAGACTACCTGGCGAAGATTGTGGTGCAGCAGGTACAGATAATGAATGGATGCATGCATGATGAGCAGGTAACTGAGCATCATTTGTACAAAAAATACTTGAAAAATATTTGGAGAAATTGAAGAATAAAAGTCCCATATTTATACTTCCAGATTCCATATTTTCTTATATTTTAAGTGTTTTTACAGTAGCTCAAATATATGAAAATACCACTTGGAGGTACAAATATGGACTTTTATTGTTGAATTTCTCCAAATTGGTACAGTAAAAATGCTTGATATTAAGTATGTTTGTAGTCTCATATGTGTAAAAGTCAAATATACCATCAGTAGCCAGGAAACACTGAGCAATATGTTTTTACAGAACCTCAAATATGGGCAAATATGCAATCTCTGGAGGCATAAATATGAGACTTTTATTTTGGCATTTCTCCACACTGGTGCAGTAAAGATACTTGATATAAAGTGTTTTTTTATTCATCAGGGGCACACAACACTTTAATGTAACATATTTTAATTATAGCTTAGGCTCTAAATACCTTTATTTTGAAAACCGGAAGTAAATACGCTGTTTCTCCGCATTTACCATAATGCTGAGAATACTTGTACACTCTAAATTTAAGTGCGGCTGATTTGACCACAGAGATCGGACTCACGGCTGGATTGACCGCAGTCTACTAGTCTACTGTTTCTTCTACACAGCACCGTCCTGTAAATGACAACATCCGGTCTCAGAATATTCTGTTTCTGTTTTCTAGTGATTTTATTTTTTGTTATATGAAATAGAAAATGAAAATCGAATAACTTTTTCAATTTCGCTCATCCCTTTCTGACCATGAAAAAGAAGAACGCCTTGTATTTCAATTTTCATTTTTGTATTTTAAAACGAAAATCAAATAACCACTCGTTTTCTGTTTTTTAATACCCGTTTCTGAAAGGAAAATCCAATGACCAAAACATACACGGACCTGGTCAGATTGGAAGAAATCTGTTATAACTTATGTTTAAACTGTCTTGAATTAGAGACTACTGATAGATTCAGACAGAATATTTGTGTGAGTGAAACCAAAAGTTTACTTTGACTAATTAAATGTGAACCCAAACCACTATCTATCTCTTCCTAAACCTAACCAAGTAGTTTTTGTGCTTAACTCTAACCCAACTGCAACTGTTTCAAGTCAAAAAATGTGAACAGTTTCTCTGCAAGCTAACCAGACATTGTATATTAATTGTTGCTAACTTGTGCTTTCTAGAAATGACGCTAGAGGGCAGCGGTGGACTGGGAATAAAAAAATGGTCCTGGAATTTTTAGCTCAGACCAGCCCACCAACAATGTCCTAGCACCCTCCCACACACTCCCCCAATTTCTCCTGTGTGATACACTTGCAATGCACCGCCACCCACACAACCAGCGCCACATGGGTAATCACTGTTCTTTTTGTAATAATGATTACTGAACAATACCTACATAACATTAGTAAAATAGAGGAGGCTCATAGGAACACATATTGTCTCAGTAACACCGGCTCTGGCTAATCACAACCTAGGTGAGTAACTAGTTAAAGTTAGTTAATTTCATGTAATAGTGTACTATATAGCCTTCCACTAGTATGATATTAATTCCGGTTGGACAGCTGATTAAGAATTACATTACCAACATCATTTTTGTATTTTATGTTCCTTTATTAAATCCTTGTGCAAGAAAAACGGTCTACAATGGTGTTTAGTCTGTAATTTGTTAATGGTAAGCACTAACTCATAAATAATCCTAACCATTCATACATAACGTAACAGTTTAACCGCCATATTTTTACAGTAGCCTAGAAGAGACAAACCAAGCACTGGCTCAAGATAGGGTTTTTTCTTGCGTTTTGAGGCCACCACAGTTTCTCTGTCATGCTTGAAAGGGGACGGCGAGAGAGTTACAATCTACTCTGCTAGATGCCACTAAATCCTATCCACTGGTCCGTAAAAGTCAGGGAAAAGGATGTAATTTCCACTAGGGTGAGGGGGACATGGGGGACTATTTTCATTACTGTCACTTTTATTTTTTTAGGTTGATCTCTTCTCTGAAATCTGTACAAACACCACAGTCCTTCTGAGAGGGGAGTTGATAATGTTGCTAATATCATCTGACTTGTCTTCACCTATTACTATGTGACCAGAGCATTGAGCTTTACACGCCCCTCACTGTGTGCAATCTGAAAGGAGTACCTGAAGACATTACTCAGGGCTAAAAAAAGGTACATCCAACCAGCAGGTCAAAATTTCAATATGATTAAATACCTGAAAAACTAATGACATTCCCATTAATAATGGATTTGCACAAGGTTGGTTCAGAGTGAAATTTCTCCTCCTCAGGATGAATTGTAATAACCCTGATGATCCCTTGACCTTTCATCTCACGCCATCTAGATTTCAGTTTGATTGACATCTCCAGACTGCTAGGAATATAATTCTGTTTGAGAAATTTAAAATCCCCTTTATTTTAATATATTTTTTATTTAATTAGCCTATGTATTTTATGCCCAGTGATGTTTTTAGTTTTTAGTTTAAAATTCAAATGTAAGGAAAAATGGAATCTTAAAAAAACTTGTATCATTTGTGTATAATAGTAAAAAAAAAATGTAAAACCTCACATCCTCAAAAATAATATTGAGGAATGACCTAGCCCTGGTGATAACGTGTCCCAACATTTGATAGCAACAATTTACCTTTATAACATTCATTAATTTTGGCTCATCATCGCAATGGTCAAGACAGACGACCAACCACCTAGAGCCGAAGGATCTGTCCTAGGTTTCTGCCTTTTAACAGGCAGTTTTTCCTTGCCCTTGTCGCCAAGGTCTTGCTCATGGTGGTACTGTTGGGTCTCTGTAAATAATGTTATAAGGAGTTCGGTCTAGACCTGCTCTATTTGAAAAGTGTCCTGAGATAACTTCTGTTATGAATTGGGGCTATACAAATAAAATTGAATTGAATTGAATTGAACTCTTTGGAGTCAAAGCAGCCGTTGAAATGGCTCATGCTATCCCAATGAATAAGTCACACAGCTGCTCATAAAGAGGTCAATAATGAAATGTCTCTCTTGAGGTTTTTCCTTTGCTTTGATCATAATATATAAACTAAGACATTAAAGGATAATTCTGGTTTATAATAACTAGGGTCTTGTTTGTGGGAATGCAGTGACATTACTACAACAAAGTCAGACACGTCAAGAAACAGGAAAACCATTACAGTTTTTGAATCCAGACTGAAAACCTTGTTATTCTCAAGCACATTTACTTAAATGTTTCTAAAATCGAAGGTCTTATTATTATTGTGCTATTATTATACTTTTTAATAATAAGTAAAACTGCCTGCCTGTCTGATCTGCTTGTCTTTCTTGCCCCATCAGACTAGTTTTTAGTGATGCCACCATGTTCTTAGTAAATAAAATATTATTATTTTAGTACGGTCTAGACCTGTTCTATATGAAAAATGTCCTGAGTTAACTTCTGTTGATTTGGGGCTATATAAATAAAAATGTAACTGAATTGAACTTGGTAAGCACAATGTTATCATCAAAAAAGCACCAAAATAAGACCTAATTCGTAATAAACGAGTAATTTACATAATATACATCAGCTGGACTGAAATTATGTTTTAGAGACAGTTTCAGAGAGGGCTGGCAGAGAAAAGAGCACAGTTTAGCTCACTGCTGACTGCACTGTGTGTGTACACTGAGAACTGTAGAAGAGATGACAATGTTGAAAATAGGTCAGAGGGGGGAAGAGACAGAGAGAAAGAGAGAGAGAGAGAGAGAGAGGAGGGAGAGAGAGATAGAGAGAGACCCCCTCTAAGCACCACTTGCAGAGCCAAAACCTGGTTTTGATCAGTACATTCCATTAGTCAATGCAATCACAATGCTTCCTTACTGCCAGTGGGGACGGTGCTAAAGTATCCTGTTGTATTTTACGTTAACCCCCCCCCCAACACTTTCTACAAACAGAGGGCCCTTGGGGGATCATGGTCATTTTTGAAATTACAGTATCCCTTTTGTCACACACCCACCCCTCCCTCCACCCACATTCATTCCTCCACTCTTCTGAGGAAGTTACTTTGAGTTTCTTATCACTGTTAAACTTACTGCTGTGTCCCTAAAAAGATGAATGACAAGAATATAACTCTCCATAAAACCCCTTCTCTTATGATGACAAAAAAAATGAACATGAGACCCACCCACTTGCTTTTTCTAGTGGATAGTTCCCTATGTCAGTCACGTGAAACAGAGCTATCTCCAAGACAGCTGGCCTAACTTTTTCCTCTGATGAAGACTGTGAGATACAGTTGAAAGCTCCAGTAAAGTATAGCTTGTAAGTGGTCCACGGGTTGAAATGGTTTTGTCTGAAGTCAATAACATTTTTGCTCTCAATGTCATAGTTTTTATTTCATAATTTCTTAACATGTAACAGAAGAAAAGACATCAGATGTTTCTTATATTTCACAGTCTATCACAAAATAAAAACATATTTCATGTGAAAATTTTGACTAGCACTTTTTTTCCTCCAACATTACAGCCACTGCAAGGTGTTGCACTGACTACAGTCTCACAGCTGGATGTGATCCAACATTTCCGGGCTGGTTTAAGACAAAACCTTCTGATGAATTAGGGTTACAAAGATTGACTGATGGCCATTTCACCAACAAGGTCAAGGCTAATGTCAACCACCAGCCCCTACAACATTCCCTGTGTAGAGTGAACATCTGCACTTTAACCTCTTTTCAAAAAAAGTAAAGGAAAAGGAGAAGTGCTCTTAAACGGGACATGATGGGGTACAGCATTCCCCTGTGCACAGACATTCCTCAGCATATCACCAGGTTTATAGGGTCCATAAAAAACACATGTCATCTAATTATTACAGTTGTTAAAAAATGTTTAAATGGCTGGTGACAGGTATGAAACAAACATAAATATAAAAGAACCAGTATATACAAAGATGGTTTTGGTCTCTTATTAACCATTCAACTCCAACACAGTGATTTTCACGACTGCTTTCCCAGCATTATCATGTGACCGCAGGATGCCTTTTCTCATGAAGGGATATTTGCTTACAGTCTCCTTTCACCCACTGCTAATGTGAGCAAAGAATGCATCTAAATCCCTTTGACACAGCTGACAGTAACCAATATCTACAGTGATATGCTATTAGAATTAACTGAGCCTTGCATGGAAGAAACCTCATATTAAAGTTTTGCTACCTCAATATGGCAGAATGCTTTTGCCATCAGTACATTTATTTCCAAGGCTCTTTGCAGGATCTGGATCCAGCTATGAAATGCTGTAATTAATAAATGACTACACACATTAGTCTTAGAAATTATCATTTTTAAAAAAATTACAATTGAAGATGGTAATATTTTATAATTACGTAGCCTTGTGCAATCATGAAGCAATCAGATCTTGTGCTGTGTGGTCAGTGTATGAAACATCAAAGCAGTTTGTACCACATAGCAACCCTATCCCAAAAAAGGTCAGTGGTTTTCAGTGTCCCTTACCCACCTCTATCAAATGATATTTAACAGTAATATCCAAATGTGTTCAAAGAGTGGGCTGTTCTGCAGTCAGAGAGGGTACAACATTTAGCTTGTCCCTTACCAGGTCCATTATTCACTCCTGCTTACCTATGAAGCAGAGTCTGTTTATTTAAATGTCACTTTCTCTCTTCTCTGTTTAAACATGGGTCTTGACCCCAGCTGAGGGGTTAGGAGCTCCCTGTTTATCATGAGCCCCAGAGATCCAGTGGTAGCAGTCCGTGGCATTCTTGTTGCGTGGCTGAACTGCACAGCGGGTGCAGTAGACGATGCCCAGCGCCACCATAACCACAATAAAGATGCAAATGGGCACAAGGAGGCCCACCAGGAGCCAGGTGCTGCTCTGCTTCTGCCCCCTATCTTCCTGGACAGAATCCAGGATGTCATCACTCTCTCCACCCTCCCTTGGGGGTGGCTGGGAAGGAGTAAGCTGGGTGGGAAAAGCTGAGTCCTGGTAGTGTGTGATCCCCACATATTCCTTTCCCTCCTCCCCAACCTCTTCTGGGAACTGTGAGTACTGTTCTTCTCCCTCATTGTAGTACTTGGAATCCGTAGGCATGTTGTAGTCTGTGACTGAATCCTCTGGATTTCCTGGTTCCTTGCTGGTGAGCCCCGCCCACCAATTCCAAGCTCCCTCAGAGATTGTGGAGGTGGAAAGGAGGGGGAAAGCTGTGGTGGTCTCCTCCTCCTCATCTTCATACCACTCTGGGCTAGTATTGGAGCTTGTGGTCGGTGGAGGAGTGGTGTAGATGGTTGTTGGCAGAACTTCCAACTCAGACTGAGATCTTTGGTCCCATTCCAACCAGTCAGCTCCTCCATTGTCTATGTCATCCTCATCTTCCTCAGCCTCCTGTGTCAGAGGGCCTAGTGTTAAATCAAAGGGCAGTTCTTCCTGAGGGGTACTAGTGACCCAAATGACATCAGAATCTGAGACTCTGGGTGGGTCAGTTAGCCAGTCCAGAGATGGCTCCTCCTCTGGAGGCCAGTCAGTGTGGCTCTGCTGCAGGTTCCAGTCATAGTCCATTGTGTCCCATACAGGTCCAGGTCGGTGTGTGACCCAAGGAAAAGAAGGTGTTACAGCAGATTGGTCATCTCCTTCCCTTCTCTTGCGACATGAGAAGTGATCAGACATGAGTTCATAGCCTTCCTCACAGTAGCACTCAAATCCACGCTCATAATTCACACACATCTGCTCGCAAGTCCCGGGTATCTGACACTCATCAGTGTCTTGGCATCGGCTCGGGTCCTCAGGCACAGGGGAATAACCCAGATCGCAGTGACAGATATGAGAGCCTACAGTGTTCTCACAGGCATGTTCACATGGCTCATTTATACACTCATCTATATCCTCACACCCACCTTCATCATCCAGATGGTAACCCTCCCGACATCGACATTCAAATGTACCGGGAGCATTCACACAAAGCTGCTCACAAGGACTCTGGAGGCATTCGTCTACATCCAGACAACCTCGTTCATCTGGTGCAAGCATGTATCCTTCAGGGCAGGCACAACGGTACCCATCTGAAAGGGGCAGACACTCAAACTCACAGGGGGCCCCTTGACAAACATCAGACAGCTCACAGCTCACCCCATCGTCTCCTAGCTGATACCCATCGGCACACTCACAGTCGAAATTAACACCAGCCATTGGCCTGCAGAAATGCTCACATCCGCCGTTATCCTGGTCACACCCGTTTTGTAATACGGGGGGATCGGAGCAGAGGGGGGAATCTCTTGACCACCCCACTGAGCCATCTTCTTTCTGCATACACAAAACTGATTGTTCCTCCTTGGTGCCTGTGGGGCAGGGCACAGTAGCAACAGATCCAAAGGGTACATGGGTAAGTACTCTGCTTAGAAGGTTAAAAGGTGTGGTGTAGAGGGCATTGCCTGCCTCTTCACTCCACAAAGCAGGACACATTCCTTTGTAGGTGTAATGGCAAAGATACCCATCTACAGAGACTGAGCAGGAACCATCCAACCATTTGAAGTTATCATTCTGCTCTTGTGTGCTGTATCCCATAACCACACAGCGTGGCACTGAGCACATATTAGAGGAGTCCTCTTTCTGCCAGTTGGTATACTCTGTGTCCTGGTCACCAGTAGTCCAAGAAAACCCCCGCAATGGACGTGTGGCCGTACACTGGCGAGGCTGGCGCTGCAGGCCAATCCATACCCGGACCTTGGTGCGCGAGTGGCGCAAGTCGAGAGTGGAGAAGAGACTGGCAATAGTGGTGGCATCCTCCTTGCGTTTGATGGTAGCTAGGTTGCCACCTTTCTCCTTGCAGGCCCTCCATGAGTCCAGGAAGGTCTTACGTTGGAAGTAGACCACAAAGCAGCCATCTGCATCGCAAAGTGCATCCCTCTCTCTCAGATCCTGGCTGAGGACTGAGGAAACTCCGACGGGCAAAGCCAGCAAGGAAGTTAAGAGAATAGCAGCAGCACTGCTCACCAGGAAGCCCATTCTTTTTTAGAACTGAATATATCTCTCCACTCTCCACTTGTCTCTCACCCTGACTTTCTCCACACTTTTATCTCCCTGCCTTTGAAAGTTTCTGTCACCCGTGGCTTTCTCACTTGGCCTGCTTTTGTTGTCTATCTGAACTTTTCTCCCTTCATTTGAGCCTTGATTTTTTTTGTCACTGTCTGTCTGTCTGTGCTCTTTACTCTACCCTGCTGAAACAGATCTGCACTGGAGTTTAGTGCATGCAGATTGTCCCAAGATTTCAGAGAGCCGGGAGGGAGGGGAGAAAAGGGAAAAGGGAATGGAGGGAGGGAGATACAGCAAGAAGGAGGGTGGGCAGAAGGGGAGTTGAGAAAAAGAATTGTATGTTTTTAGAAGGGGGGGCTTCATGTGGATGTGTGTCAGAAGGGGGGGAGGTGCAATGAACTGTGCATTTCTTTCTTTTTCAGAGCATGTCATATGGTTTTCATAAGCCTCGTTCATGGACATAGTTTGGTACTTTGCCATTTACCCGCACAGACATACACAAACACATTCATATGCATAAGATTTGTGTCAGAAAAAGTGTTGTCATCCCTAATAACAAATGGGACTTAATAATCACCTGAACAGACACAATCTTTCCAGCAATCAGTTACCTTCTATTTCCTCTTCTCTAGCTTCAAACTCCTCTATCTCCCTTCGTGAATCTTTTCTCTCAGCTTTTTATTCATTGTAACTCAGGCCAGCAGGTTCTTAACATGCAAACCTCCTATGTGTTTTGTCTGCTTCATTTGATTCCATACAGTGTGAAGGAAGTTTTTTCTTGCCACCGTCGCCAAGTGCTTGCTCATGGTGGTACTGTTGGGTCTCCGTAAATGTTATAAGGAGTTTGGTCTAGACCTGCTCTATTTGAAAAGTGTCCTGAGATAACTTCTGTTATGAATTGGCGCTATACAAATAAAACTGAATTGAATTGAATTGAATGGGAGGTTTTCCAACAGGAACTCCACAGGCATTTTTAACTTTACCCAGTTAGTTTGATTATGTTTCATGTATTGTATTTATGTCTCTGATGAGTTTGTTGACGACAAAAAAAGCTGTTCTTGTGGGTATTATGAAAATAAACCAAGCTTGGACTTTAGCCCGGCATCTGTCTATTTCCACACATCTGGCATCCTATACTAACAAACACAACCCTAGGCCAGAAAGATGATACCACTTTCTGTACCAATGTTCTGCAGCTACATTAAAGACAACAATGCTCTTCTCCGTGCTAATAACTCTCAGATTGAGATGGGGAATAAGGTAGTGTTGTCGAGGTTGCTAGCGTGGAGGGAGAGGGCCTCTGGGTTTGCTATGAAAACAAAGCCAGGCTGGTGAATTGGAGACTTAATGGGGGATGTTGGAGGGGAGAGGGGTATGTATGTGTGTGTCTGGGAGAGGAGGTCGAGGAATGGGGGATGTGGGGTGTGGTGCGGGGGCAGTAGCAGGAGTCCTGTGAGTCTGTAATAAATCCAGCTGACTGTTGTTTGAGAGCCCATACTGTGTCCTATGCACCTCACTGTTAGAGTGGTGTACAAAAGCACCTGAAGCTACAGTAACTGCCGGTAGGTCTAAGCGGGAAAATGGAGGAATATGTGAAACTTTTATGTGGTTATCCAAAATTCCTTATTTTTATATTATATACTATATACTGAACTGATGCAGTGTATCAGAAAGTACTGAACACTGGCACTGAAGCCTTGCAGAAGTCCTGTTTATGTAATCTACAATCAGATTTTATATGATTTAGTATTATGTTTTCTTACGGTTGGTATACAAGAGGCAGATTAACAATAGATCGGTGAAAACAGAAGCAACAAAGGCCAAGATATCCCAACAGACCAGCACACAGCAGTGTGGCATGGCCTGAAGGCAGCCAAAGATCAGCGGTGTCCAGAAGCCAATCCACCCTCCGGCCACTCGTAAGGAGACAACTGGCTGGCTGGAGAGAAGAAAGTGGCAATCAGTGCTCAGCTTAATGCAAATTTAAACTCACTCATTCGTAACTATGAGTCTCAGAAGGTGGTGAGGTTTCCAGGCAGTGATCTCCTCCACGCCTGAAGAGGTGAATGCTTGATCGTGTACCAGTCTGCATTATGGCATCTCCCACCATCCTTTACCACCTCTGCTTCTCCACAGCGGACTCAGGATTCGTCACACCGATGGAACAGAAGCACAGCCAAAGAGAAACAGACAAACCCTGAATAGTCTATTATGTGGAAAGCACCCACATCCCCAGTATATTTCAGTTCACATCCTAGTTCAGTGCTCTCAGTATTTTTTCTACCCCAAATCACAGTTCATTCTCATACACATACTCATACATCTGCAAAGGATGCATGGGGTAATACAGAAGGAAGAGTGAATACGATCCTATTGAGGTAGCATCATTTCTCACTGATTAGCTGGAGGGGCACGCAAGGCTTCATAAAGTTATTACATTATAGGTGAGAAGTTTCATTTTAAAACAAAAAGGTTTCACATTATAACATGAAACAGATACATTTTTCTTTTTCTGGCGTGGCAGCAATACGCTGTTGTAGTTTTGGTCTGAGATGCTAGTGCCCTAGTAACCCTAACCCAATATCCAGTGGCAAGTAAATTTCATATATATAACCTTTGCTATTAGAGTTCAACTTTTGACAAGCTAATATGTGCAGTTGACCAATAACAAATGTCTCCACTGCTGACCTCTCAGGGGTTTCTTAGCTGTGTTGCATCATTCACTTTTATATTACCCTGTTACTGCTAGAAAAAGAGACATGTTTGAGACAGTTATGAGTCGAGAGTCATTGCTAAAGTTTCCAATTAGCAGTCAAGCTAGCTTGGAGAGCTTTTGTGACTGACCAGTGGCTGCATGTGCTCAGCTAGCTAATGTGCTAGCGATTAGCTTGTTAGCTATGGTAGTCTGCCAACAAACACTCAGCAGCACCTTTTTTGCACGGACGTGCAGAGGCACTCTAACTGCGGGTTGAATCAGTGTTTTGTCATTTCAGTCAGAGACAAGAGATAGCACAATGGTAATGACATGATATGAAATGAGTAATGACCTCCTTGGGGAATGGTTATGGTACCACAACACAGGGATATAGATAAGCAGTCAAATAGGAAAAATGTAAGACATACTAATAAAAATATGTGAATTTATGCCTCCTTTTTTTAGTGCCCCTTCACCTAGAAAAATACACATTATACTCACACACACACCTATCCCTCCTGTGTCTCAGCTTGGTGAAATTCAAACCAGGGGTGTTGGGCCATTTGTCCCCCAACTGTGACATCACTCACACTAGGCGACCTCACTCGGATGGGCCTGTTTTTTATGACAGCTGGACGTTTTGAGGTTAACTGGTGTTTAATGATCATGACCACCCTTTAACACACACTCACTAAAAACCCTTTAACAAGTCCCTGCACGCCTGTCTCCCAGCATCCATCAGTGCTCCACGGTCCCCAGTGCTGGGGCAGATGGTTTAAATACCGTGTGAGGGTCACTATCACAAGATTGGAGCAATGCTGCTGTGAACGATATGTGGGCAGGGGTGCATGACAGTCTGTTATTAGGTTATCTGTACAGATAGAGCTTCTATTCACACACATGCACAAGCTGACCGCTTGAAAATGTGTCTCCAGCACATGATCAACATTTGGACTGTCAACAGTCAGGTTGGATTAGTTGAGTTGCAGTGTGTAACATTTAGGAGGATCTATTGTCAGAAATGAATTATAATATTCATATGTATGTTTTCATTAGTTTATAATAATCACCTGAAAATAAGAATCTTATTTTTGATAGCTTAGAATGAGCCGTTTTCATCTACAACAAAAGTGGGACAAACCAAACACTGGCTCTAGTTAGGGTCTTCCACGTTGTTACAGGTACAGTGTTTCTCCTACACACTTGGAAGGCTGAGCTGTTTTCATAGTAGTTGAAATCTACAACTTCACCACTAGATGCAACTGAATCCTACCCACTGGTCTCCCATTTATTGATCCGCTTCGTGACAACTTGGGTCTTAGTTTTTAGTTTTGGTCATCATTCCTATTGGTTACACATCTGGAAAGTTGTCACTGGAAACTGTTTTCCAGTGACCACGAAAGGGCAGGCGCTTTAAAAAAAACACTCCGCAAGTGATTGGATGAACCATTGGTCCATCTATCATCCAATCAGATCAATAAACCATATAACGTAGTCAAACTCCAACTAAATCCAGTTGGGGGAAGAGGGAAAACTTTTCCATTCAGAAAAGCCTTCAGTAACATCCGTGACATCCTACTCTCCACTTCTGATATAACCGATGTTAGCAGCATCTATTCTAACCTCTTTCGGATTGTTGTTTTTGAGCTAACAGTAACTCTTACACACCTAGCGGTAAACCATGCCTGTAGTTCACGCTGTAGCTGCCAGTAGTTCCTAGTAGGACACTGATCAGTCAAATCACTCATCAGCTTGAAGCCTAGCAAGATGGATTCTCACTTGATTTTGTGATCTAATGGTTCCAACTGCCTAGCAAGGTTAGATATATTTTTTTTGTGACCACATTTCACCATCTCACAATTAACGTGATGGTATTTTTACTAATAGAAATGACAGCCATAAAAAAAACAAGACTGCAAAAGACCCAAGTTAAACAGAAATACACTTTAATTAAAACATTAATTATGTTGACATACTTTTTCCCCCATAGTATAGAGTATCTGCTTGTTCCAGCACCTCACTGGTCTTAACCATGTACAACATTTTCAGGCTGTGTATGTAAATTGGAATACTCTCCATGTCTCATGGGCGGCTGTGGCTCAGAGGAAAAGCGGGTTGTCCTTAGTTGGTTCGATCCCCGGCTCCTGCCGCCACTTTCAATCTGCTTTCAATCGCTATGCTAAGCTAGACTAACCCTGTCCTGACATCAGACATAACACACAAACATATCTAAACAACAAATGGGGACACTTTTCACAGCAGATATTTGGATTGGCACAGTAGAAAAAGCACAAGTGTTACAAATAGCATAACTAAAGCAGCTAAATGGAATTCAGCCATCATTCATTATATTACCTATTAAGGAACGTCTTCCAAAATCTTTAATTATTCTATCAGTCCCTTCATTTCTTTGAGTGCTGAAATTAAAGATCAGAAAAACATATGGTATGCTTTGAAAAATGGTCTGCAGTCAGATAAAGTATACACAGTTTTTAATTAATGGACTAAAGCAGAAAGCAAGCCGGTTTTAATTAGCTTATTCCTTTATTAAGGCTGTGTT